AAGGCAGGCTGGTGGGCAAGCTCCTCTCTGGTGCACAAGTGAAGGTGCTGAGAACTTCCCATAGCCCGTGAACTAGGTTTCTCACTAGGAACATAAGCAAACTTGATTGGAGATCTTGATATATATTCTAATTCTGATCTAAAACTCCATGGAATGTGTTAGCTCCAAACAATGTTAATGTAGCCCTTATTTCATGGCAATGGCGAACATCAGGCTGCAAAAGATTTTAAACTTGAAGACTGAGGCTATAATGGACACTGGCAGACAGAGTATATGTGGTAATACGAAGAATACAATTCCAAATAATAGCATTCATCAATGATTCATTTACATATTCATATTTTTATTAAACTAATCAATCATCTTTTCTGTGTCAGGTATTACAGTGCGCTCTATGCACAAACAGCAGATATGATTTCTGACCTCTTGGAATCAAACTTAATTCATAGTTAGGTAATGTCCCTTAATTTCCACATAGCAAAAAAAAAAAAAAAAAAAGGTGGGGGCATTGATTCAGTGTAGTTGGAAATGCTAACATAAGGTGTGGGGGTCAGGAAAATCTTCATTGAGTAAGTGATATTTAAACTGATAGAAAATTTTATGATACATGGCTAGATGTTAGAAATATGAAGATAGGCCTGGCATAGTTCCTGTCCTTGAGGAGTTCATGTCTAGGAAAGAGACATGCAAACCAGTAACAGTCTTTCATTAGAAGTGTTCTACAGAAGCATATAAATTATAGTGGATCCTGAAGGTTGTGGGTAATTCTGTCTGATCATCTCAGGAAATGGCTTTAGGCATGGGTTTTTGAAGCACAATGATTTTGAAGTCTAAGGAATATTAACAGGCAATCAAGACCAGAAAGAATATAGCAAATGATGGCTAGCAGTGAGAAAAAGTCCAGTGCGTTTGGCAAACCCTAAGTAGAAGGGAAGACCTAGGAAGGCAACTGGCCAAAGGTGAGATTGTGTATAGAGTGGGGTGGTAAAAATCAAGGAATGTGAAATATTGTATGAAAGAGTTTATACTTCTTTTTTAGGAGTGGAGGAGCCATTAGAGTATTTTAATTAGGAGTTTGAAATCGATTGGTGTTTGTAGACTAATCATTCTGAGTGCAAAAGGATGGATTTGGCCTATGGAAAAGCTGGATTCAGGGAGACTGATTCAAAGGTCATTGCAATAGGCCTTAAGAGAGGAGGGAAGAACTTCAGCTTTGGCAGTTGCCAGGGAGATTTAATTGCTATTTAGGAGTAAAAATCAATGCTAATTGAAGATAGGCTGACTAGGATAGATGTAGAGAGATGATTCTAGTGTATGTGAAGATTTCTACCTTCTGCGTAATTTATGGAATCCACAGAGCCATTGCCAGCTAGTAGAAAGGCTTACAATAATCCTGGCTCTACCACTTAAGCTAGTTGAGCCTCATTTTTCTATACAAAAATGGCTTAAAATTATTTTGTGGGAGGTAGTGGCACCTGAGTGGCTCAGTCAATTGAGAGACCAACTCTTGATTGCAGCTCTGGTCGTGTATCATGGTTGTGAGATTGAGCACCTTGCTGGGCTCTGTGCTGACCAAGGATCTTGCTTGGGATTCTCTGTCTCTTTCCCTGTCCCTCCCCAACTCATTCTCGATAGATAGCTAGATGATAGATAGATAGATAGATAGATAGATAGATAGATAGATAAACAAACTTTGAAATAATTTTGTGGGATTTATGGAAAGATAATTAAGAAAATGCTTAGCAAATTGCCTTGCTTTGGATAAGACTATGGTCTACACCCAACCTCTACTTTCTTCTTGAGGACCAAACACTCAGAATTAGGGTAAATTGTACAGAATCAGAAATGGCTTAAGAAAGTAAGTTCAGTTTTAGCCATGCTGAGTAACGTTCATACTGTATGTCTAGCTGGCTATATCTGGTATGTATTCAGAAACAAAACTTGAGGACTTGGGAAGGGTTGCATATAAAGCCTAAGAATGTGGAGATTGAATAGGTGATAATGGAAATAACTTGACTGAGATTCCACCTGGTATAAGAAAGAAACTATTCAAATGAAATCTCTGGTGCTTGGTATCTAAATAAGTAGACAGAGAAGGAAGAGCCTCCCAAAAGCAACTAAAACATGGTTTAAGAAATAAGAACAAAACCTTGAAAATAGGAACAAGCATAAGCACAAAACCTTCGTTGAATAAGAGGTGAACTTTAAGAAGGAATTCTGTACCACTCTGACAGGCCTTAGAACTGACAAGTAACTTGAGGAAAAGGGAGGACTCTTTGAATGTAACAATTAAGAGATCACTGACAACCTTAGAACAGTCTCCTTATGGTGTTGAGGAGCAGAATGCAGACTGCGGCAAATTGAGGGAGGAGCAGAAATGAAGAAATAGTCATGAGATACAGAATGCTCTTTTAAGAAATTTGGCATGGCAAGTTGGCGTGGTAGGTAGAAATGGATGAAGAAAAAGGAAAGAGGTCTTGGGTGCCTGGATGGCTCAGTCCGTTAAGCATCCAACTTTGGTTCAGGTCATGATCTCACACTTCTTGAGTTCGAGCCCCACATGGAGCTCTCTGCTGTAAGCGCAGATCCCGCTTTGGATCCTCTGTCTCCCTCTCTCTCTGTGCCTCCCCCAATCATGCTCTCTCAAAAATAAACATCAAAAAGAAAAAATACTGAGAGAAAAGATCTAATATTGAGGAAGCAGAGGGAGATAAGTGATGTAAGATAAATAGTAAAGGAATATTCTAGAAGAGGCTGCAGCTTGGGAAATGCAGGTCATGAAAGAATGCATTTGCCTGAGATGGAAAAGGTATAACCTCCCTTTGAGTCGAAGTAAAGTTGGAAAGACTATCAATAATTGGAAAGTAAGAAGCTTCCAGTATTAACACAGTTGTTGTTTTATCCTGTTGTTTAGCTTTTATTTTTTTGTGTTCTAATAACTTATGTTTTGACTACCTTAATTAGATTGATTGTACTTTTTCATGTTCTCTCTACATAAAATGAATGATTAAATTTTAATTTAGTAAAAGTTAAGTGAAACCTCACTTCTGTCCTTTCTTTTCCCTGAAAAAAGAACCTTAGAAAATACTGATTCTTAATAAAGCAGCCCCAAGAATGATGAGGTCATAAAAATTACATTTTCTATGCCAGGGTCTCAGACTATCAGAGTAATATATTCCTCTAGTGATTTGTATATCCTTATAAGAAATACTAGAGATAAACTTTATGCAGGACATTGCAGTATCTGATAGCTCTTAAAATCTAACTGTTCCAGTAATAAAATGATTTGTATTGTTTCACTATCCCTATAAATGAGGTTTTGTTTGAGCATTTGCATGTTGAAAAATAGTTTTACATATTCTTTTTTTTAAGTGTTAACTGTTAGCTCAAGCTTAATTAGGATTGTAAGCAATTAATTTTGTATCATGTTTACATTTGAAAACAGAAGTACCGCAAGACCTTTCCTAGTAGAGGAACACATAGTTTAATTAGATTATCTTCATTGTATTGTATATAAACACATAAAAACACAAAATAACCAGCCCCTCCTCATACCTGTGATTCTAGAATGATAAAGACCAGGCTCTGGATTTATATTATAAATAATAAGCAATTACAGTAAATTCTGCACATAGAAGCATCATACATTTGAAATACATAGTCCAAAGCTGATGGGAATTCAGCCCAAGATCAACATCTCAAATAAAGGATTTCAAAGGAGTAAGACTATACAGTTGTACTTTAATTTTACCATAATGTAGGGCTTTATAGTATTCTATCATTGCTCTTTATCTCTCCTTTGCTGACTGGTACCTGAATGATCTCAGTCATATTTTCAGGTTCACTACTTATTTTGTTCCAGTGCTTTGAAATACATTTCATTAGCTTTGCTCTTCTTGCTATATTCATATATATAAAGCCAAACACAGAATGAATATCTGTGTTTGATGGTGCAGCAGAATTAATGCTTAGTATTTTCAAAACTGAACTTGGGTCTTTTCCATCAAATTTACTTGTCCTCCTGTATTTCCTACTTTAGAAAAAGATATAACCAAGGACCTGACACTTAATTTGGGAAAGGATCATATTTTCTCATTCCAGGTAAACATCAAAGTCACTATGTTGTATTTCATTCAAGCCTTTTCCTTAAGCATGGCATTTTTTAAATAGTTGTGCTTACATGATTTAAATTTCTATAAAAGTACATTGGCAATTTGGGTTTTTTTTCCTTCCTATGTCTGTATAGGTAATTTGTACTTTGTATTAAAACTATCCATTTCATCCAAGTCTTAAGATTATTGTGAGAATCCAGTTAGATAACTGATATAAAGCACTTAATAGGGTGTGTGAGATGCCATGGTGAAGATGAAATGTTATGTATTATCAACGAATTTGTTCACATTGAACCAAAAGATAAATATGGAAGCAGTGACAAAATGAAAGGATATAAATAAGAAGCATCATTAGAAATTGAAATATTCTAATGGCAGTCATTAATGAGAGTTACCAATCATGAATTCTTTATTATCATGCAGTGTATCATCTTTATGTACATTGCAACACACCAGCATTACGTTCTGTACAACTCTGGGTATATCATTTGCCCTCTCATTGCTTCCATTGCCTCAGGATACATAAGGATCTTGACTAGAAAAACTCGAAGTTCTATTTCAGTTTTGTTTTTTTTTTTTAATGTTTTATTTATTTCTAGGAGAGAGAGAGAGACAGCGTGAGCAGGGGAGGGTCAGAGAGAGAGGGAGTCACAGACTGAAACAGGCTCCAGGCTCCGAGCTGGCAGTCAGCACAGGGCCCGACGCGGGGCCCGAACCCACGGACCGCGAGATCATGACCTAAGCGAAAGTCGGACGCTCAACCGACTAAGCCACCCAGGCGCCCCTCTATTTCAGTTTTAAAAACTATGACTTTATGACCACAAAAGAGCTTAATTCTGAGTTTTCTATTCTGAGTCAGCACTTGAGAAAATTGTGAAAGACCTCCTGTCTGTGTTGATGTATTTATTTTCTGATTCCACAATCATCCTTGTCTTTATCATCTGTCATCCCCATTAATTCTTCAAGTTTCCTCTCCAAATATTTCTTTAATGACCTTCGTATTGCCTTCATTTTCCTCCGATGAGACACACAGATGTGGAATCTAGAGAAACATAATCCTGACTTCAATATTAGTAGGCCAACTCTTTAAGATAATTATGTGCTTGTGGGTTTTTCCCCCTTCTCTTCCTGTATAGTCCTCTAGAAGTTTGCCTCATACTTTATTGTACTTCCTCGATTTCCTATTTTCATTCCATAAACCTTTATCCATTTTATCCCTGTTGGTATCCTATCCCAAACTTTGAAATGACTTTTTTCCTCCTTATTGCCATTGGAAGGAGGGGGAGGATTGGGCAGTCTCTTTGCCAAAGGGATACCTGACTTAGTGTGTGTTTGAAGGGAGGAAAACTCACAGTAACAAAGCACTTCCCAGTACCACAACTTCTGTTAGCATTATCAGAAATAGTCCAATCTCTCGATTCTCAGCCGTTCTTGAATCCTCCTCTGGAGGAAGAAAGGGGAAAATAGAAAGTGAGTTTGGGAGAAGAAAAATACGAACTTGAGAACTTGATCCATAATAGAGGGCTCTTATTACCTCAAATAATTTACTCTGTCCACCACTTCTATTGCTGTTTTCTGGTTATTTTGATCTTTATCACTCATAGAACCCTGATCTCTGCAAAACTTTTGTCCCTCCTGCCCCTAGCCTAACTATCCACCTTCATTTAGTCCAGCCTTTTCAGTTCTCAGCTATTCAATTGATCTGGTGCCCAGTAATTCATTCATACTGGTACAACTTTTGCCCAATATTTTAGCTCTGATTTGCAACATTAGCATGATCTGCCTAGAAGGTGCTCACCAAATATTTGTAAATCAATAAACAACTCAGTACCTTGATACCTGGTCCCTCAAAATGCCATACCAAAATCTTTGTTACCTCCACAGTATTCTCCTCTGAAGCATCGGGTGGTGATGCGAAGACAGGTCCAACAGTCCAGGATAGGACCTTCAGTTACAACTGATAAAGAGAAGAAAGATAACGGAAGGAAGCCATGGCATGGAGTTTTCTTAGCTCAGACATCAGAGATGGATTAGATCTCAGGCATTTCCAGGACTCTTAGGTTTACACTGCTGTGAGTTCCTTCTTCCCCTAGTAATCAAGTTTCTTGCCAGGTCAAAACCTTCTGTAACTTAAGTCAGATTTCTGGGGAAGAAGTGGGAAAAATGATGCCTCCGCTTATACTGGTCCCATAGGTTATAAACCATACTTCTGAAGGCCCCTGAGCACCTCCAAAATCTTTGTGTTTGAGATTTCATGAGACACATTTTGATGTCAGATACTGTTGACATTCCCACTCCCGTAATCACATCTCTAGCAAGTGAGTTCTGAGTGTGACAGGTGGGAAAGATATGGCCATACAGAACAAATGAGGTGGGGAAGTAGAGGCTGAAACCTCAAGGTGTCCAACATACTGTACTCACCACAATCTTCAGAACAAGCTAAAAGAGAATTAGAAAGTTCTAATGAGCTTATGATCAACTGAGAGTTTGCCATATTTATGCCCAATAGTCTTTATTTGGTTACCCGTGAGGTTCCAGCCACCCCGCCATCCAGTCTAAATAACTCTAACATGAAACCACCTTCCTCCTCTCACCCTCATTTCCTATTCCTTTCACTTAAGTTCAGTGTTGTTAGATAGACATGTTTTATTACCAACTTCAGAGAAGTTCTTTAATGTTTCTTTCAGTTTGGATTCCAGGTTTTGGCGGACATCGAGAAGCTTGCCTTGAAGGATAAAGGCACCTAAGAGGGGGTGGAAGGGACATCAGAAACTAGGGGTGGCCCTTCACTTCAGAATTTAATTCTAATGTTTTTGCCTTGTTTTTCCCAGTGAACTTTCCCTATACTTTACTGGGCAATACAATCTTTTAACACTGAAACAATACCTCACCTTTCCATGTTTCATTGCCCAGTTTATAAAGTTCATTCTTCAGCCATATTCTCAACTTGACAGCCTTATTAACAGCTAGAGAGGAGGGGTAAAGATACATGTGGGGGATTAATCACATCCATGAAAGAAATTATGTGGACCCCCAGTGCAGTCTTCCCTGCCTCCCTTTTCCCTTTAACCCACAAAACTCTCAGGGACTCAAGCTTCCCTCACCCAACACCCGAAGCATCTTGTCCCCGTGGGAGACCTTGAAGCTTAAATAGATCATCTCCTTAATCTGCCGTTCAAGCAGATGAGTTCGGCTGGGGACTTCTGAGGGTACCAACTTTGCCAGCATGGACCTAATATCGTCTGTGAATTTGGGGTCACATTCCAAGCAGGCTTTGACCTCGTAGAAAGCTGCCAGGGACAGGGGCAGGAGCAGGAGCAACCACAGCTCTCCCATTTCCTTGCACCAGTGGCTGGTCGCCCTGGCAACTAGTTCACCTAGCTCCCTTTTCTTCAAAAATCCAGGAAGAAGAGCTTTGTCCTGGATAGTCTGAGTCCACCTTCCCCTCCATTTCCATCCCGCTTCTAGGCGATCTCATTTCCCTAAGGATCTTCAGTTGTTTCCTGACTTTTATCCTTCATTCCACAGAGGAGGAACTGCCAGTTGGGAAGCAGATACCTGAGTTCTGAATATAGAACACAGAGAGAGGAATCTTGAGCTCACACAAGCAGAGTTCCATGCAGAGACATCTCTTAGAAAAGGGTTTTCTTCAGGTTTCTCCTTTTCTTGTGTCCTCAGTAAATTACCACATCCCTCCTGATCATGGGAGTAGTGTCTCAAGACAGAGATCTCGTAGGACATTAGAGCTGCTTAACCAAAATCCTACTTCTATAGAGGAGGTGTGAAAGCCCTGGAATATTGAATTGCTTGGGGCCCCAGTCTCTAATGGTAGAAGTATTGTTGAAAATTAGCAATAGATGTCCAGATGTAACTGGTCATATTGATAGTAATTTTTTATATAGTTGATAACTTCTCAGAAATTTGTAGGATGATTTTCAGCCATGGTATACAATTTTTTATAGCATTCTTTTAAAAAAGAGTCTGGAACAAGGAGACAAGAGACATCAGTTGAAGGATATATGGTGATGAGTGAGAATCCAGTAACACCCACTTTAGTGGGCAAATCTTAAAAGTACTAATGCTGAAGTGTGAGGCATGTAAGCAAATAACCACAGTCATCATGGGCTGCCCTGGAAGGCCACCATGGAAGGAACCCAAATAAGCATTTCAGTTTAGGATTCTTTGAATAAGACTGTTCTCCATTATTTGAAGAAATTCAGACTGCTTTGCAGATTTTTCAGGGTACCAGTTACCTCTTCTCTGTTATGTTGCTTGTATGGCTGTGACTTCCTGTGAACCAGGAAGCCCTGGAATCTTAAAAGATTAGTGGTAGAATTTAGAGCCAAGGTATGGGAGAGTCATGAAAACATGGGAGTGAAAAGTTGTGAGGAAATCCAAAAATCTACCACTAATTTATATGCCTACCTTACCATGTACTGCTTGGTATATACTAAACAGTTCTGATGGATTACTTGCAAGTCCTGATGGCACAGCAATGCTTTGAAAGATTATCCCAACTTTAGAGATAAGACTCTGAGGCTAGGAAATGTGAAACAATCCTTTCTGCAAAATAATTTAGTAGCTATGGAATCTGGATTTGAACTCATGTCTGTCTGACTCTAAATTCTATAGACTTTAATCAATGCCTCTCAACATCTTTGGGGATAATGCAGGAAACTACTTGTTGGAACTTGATAAATCAGAAGATTGCAAGAAGAGGCAATTTAAATCCTTTGATGCTCCAAATCCACACCTCTCTGCTCTGATTTTATTTTTCCTTGACTGGATGATTTCATCTTTAGATGATCTTCCAAAGGATTTCCACATGTTAAGATCGGAAGGCATTTGAGATTACAGGATTAAATTAACTCTGGAAACCAAAATTGGAGACTAAAAGGGGCTAAGGCACTTGGCAGGAAGGTAGCCAGATATGAGGAAAAACCATTCTTGTAGAGAAAATATACATTATAGATATTTTCCAGTTAACAATACATACTTTCACTTTCAGATTGGACAGTTACAGAGAACATTCTGCCATATTAATGAATAAATCTTCTGTTCAGTGGCACATTATCTTGACCCAGACCATGTGCCCAATCTAGCCATTTTATCCTTGCCTCATTTTCCCAGCTTAATTTGCAATCCAGGATTTTTAGGATGAGAGAAAAAAAATATTCAACTTATGGATAGTCTTGGGAAGACTGAAAATAGTCACTGTCTAAAAAGAAATAACTTGTAATTGAAGGGGACATATAAAAAAAATAATAGAGAGACAGACACTCTCATGGAGGGACCAGTAAACAGATAATAATGGAATGAGCTGATGATAAAGGCAGAGGTACCCACAGAGATCTATAGGAAGACAGAACAGCCTAAATCTGGAGGAATTTCTAGAGAGGCTGGATGTAGGAGACTAGAAACAACAATTAATGATTATATGGTGGTGAGTAAGATCCCAGAAATATTGCTTTAGGAGAGGCATCCTGAAGGTACTGATGATGGAATATATGACCTATAAGAAAATAACTACAATTATCCTGGGCTAGTTCTTTAAATTCAGTAAATGTAAAATATTTGAACTTTGGAAAGGAAGAGATGTCTGGACATTGATAATATAATGATCACATTACTTATTTAAAGTAATACTTGTGTCTAGCAGGCAAAAGGCTAATACCCAAATCTTTCATTGATTATGCTAACATTCGGTTTGGATTGGCATGGAGGGGATGTGATTTATAGGCAGTGTGAATATGTAGAATAGTTAACCAAACTCTTTAGTTGATTTAAATAGTATAACAGATACATAGTGGCACATGCCACTTTTTTTTTACCAAATAAACATGTATTCATTTGTAATTATTAGATAAGATTCAAGGGTTATTCACAGGCGAGATATCATATGTGTTGTATATGTTCTTTTCCTACAAAACCATTAGTCCTTATATTTAGTCCCTTTTAAGGGCTAGAAGCAGTTGTTTTGTAGTGTTTGGCCTTTGTTAAAAATCATAGGAGACACTGAGGTTTAAAATCTAAAAACAAAAGAAAAGAAATAAAAATAAAATCTAAAAAGTTTCATAAAGAAGGGCAGGAAGCTTCTTAAAATAATTTTCCTTTAATCCATAGTCAGTCTGGTTCCCAGATCCATACAAAAAAATAAAAATAGTGAATCTCTGTGTCTCAAGCTTCTTAGAGCTTCTTTTCCTGTGGATTATTTGTCCCAGCTGAGCCCTGCTGCATTGCTGCCCATCTCTATCACTTCCCAGGATTCCCTAGAAGTTTGGCAAATAACCCAGATACCTTTCATAGTCAAGTGAGATTCAGTTCTTTCCCGACTGTGATCTGAGACTAGGAAGCCAGTACTTGGCATTTGGCCAAGTTATAAGCCATCTGTCTAGGAGGCATAATAATCATAATTATAAATGTTGAAATAATTACTGTATTCCAGATCCTTCACATGTAAAGTGATTTTAATATTTTCTGGTATGCCTGTCCACTTATCCATTTATATTCCATTGTCATTAAGCCAATTTTCCCCTCCATATTACTCTCATTCTTTAGGAAAAAAGTCATAAGTTTGGAGCTTGGAAGACTTTTTTTTTTTAAAGCATTTATTCATTTTGAGAGACAGAGACAGAGCTCGAGCAGGTAAGGAGAGGAAAGAGAGAGACAGAGACAGAATTTGAAGCAGGCTCCAGGCTCTGAGCTGTCAGCACAGAGCTGGACTCAGGGCTCGAAGCCACGAACTGTGAGATCATGACCTGAGCTGAAGTCAGACGTTTACCCGACTGAGCCACCGAGGAGCCCCAGAGCTTGGAAGACTTTGAAGGAATCTGGAAGGAAATCAAACTAAAAGGAAAGCTGATCCCATCAGTAGTGATTGTGGGAAGAATAGGGGAGACAAGTGATGACAAATGATTTGTGTCATAACCTCTTGTCTCTAGGCAGGGGTCCTGGAAGGGGAGATAGTATTATAGATCAAAGGGAATACTAAAGGCAAGAGGAGCTTGCCCTGCATCCTTGAGGAGCTCCAAAGGCTACATCAGTTACCTGCATATGACCACTGTGCCTGAGGAAAAACAGTAGCATGTCATGATTGTCTAACAGAAGGCACTCCTGAGACTATGCTAATTTCCCTGTGCTGTGGAAGGACCAATATGCCTCTCCTGGTTCCTGGGCAAGGATGTACAAGTGAACTCTGGATCTGACTGGAAAGCTTGCCCTGTGTGTATCATCAAGGCTTCAGGGAGTAGGGTCCTATCTGAAAGTTGGATAGCAAATCACTAGATCAGGAAAGAAAAAGGCATTTGCAGCAAGCCCCAGTACCTTGATGGGGTCAAATTGTCAGGGAAGACCACCAGACCCTGAGGAAATAGAGAACAGGCCCAAAATGCCCCGCATGCACAGTTTCCCAGAAAATACCACAAGATTCAGAGATGGGGTGGTATCAAATTTGCCTTAGAAGATACCAACACACTGGCAAAGAATAAAACAAATACCCTCAAAGTTAAAAAAAAAAAAAAAAAAAGTCATTCAAGGGAGCACACATTAGTGAAGAATTCACTACATAATTCACTGAGGAGGAAAATACAGGAATTTTAAATGCTAAAAGAGAGTTCAGTAAGTGATTGTACTTACTATCATTTTAGAATGCTAGAGAAGATGGACTGGTAGGTAATTACAAGTCTTATTTTTCAGTTGATTAGGACAGTGTTTTCTTAGGCCCAAGAGAGGTCTAGCATTCCAGAGTTACCAATGTTCATGGTTTTTGGTCAATTTTAGGAGGTTAGAGTGAGTTGGAGTAAAACCTAACTCGTCCTATCTCCTGAACAAGCACTGCTATCAGTAGAAAACTTTCCTTTATGTGCTGTATATATCCAAGAGCCCCTTCGACCACGGGGGGATCTATGAATTAACAAAGACCCCCCATGTTCCCATTCCTATATCCCATTTTGGAAAGAAGCAGGGAATGGGAAGGAAATATGAGTGATTTTTCCAAAAGCACTTACCAAAGAAGAGCATTTAAGTATCGGGTGGGATTGAATTTATCATATGGTGCTGATACTGCTTTTTATTTTTTATTTCTTTGCTCACCCAGTGAGGTGCGAAGTGAGTGTCCAGAGAAAGCTCAGGCCAGTTATAGAACGTGAAGAAGCTATGTCTCCTTTGTATATCTGAGAGCAGTGTAAATAAATGTGTGACCTTGCAACATAAACACCATGATACTTAATTCTCAAGACAAGCTTGCATTGCTATTTCCACTTTATAAAATAGGAATCTGATGTTCGGAGGCACTAAGGGATGCGTCAAAGTTCACACACCTACTAAAGGAAAGATTTGCAGTAATACAAATGTGTTTGCTTTCATAGTCATATGTTTCCAAAATACCAGAATGTTTCTTTTTCTAATGTTTATTTATGTTGAGAGGGATGGAATGAGAAGGCATGGGTGAGGAGCAGAGAGAGGGAGAATCCCAAACAGGCTCCACACTGACAGGGCTTGATCTCACCAACTGTGAGATCATGATGTGGGCCCAAATCAAGAGTCAGGTGC